ATTTTTAAAATGTGTATAGGTAGTATTTATAAAGTTTTAGCTTTTAGTTTTGGATCTGTTTTTAGTTGTTTTAATACTACAATCGATTGCTTCTGTTGTCCTCATTTGGAAGTCGCTTTGGATAAAAGCGTCTGCTAAATGACTAAATAAATAAATATTATATTATATTATATTATATAAGGAGGTCCAAGTTAAAACCGAAAATTATTTTAAAAATTGACTTTATTGAAACACTTGTTGGTTTCAGGTATTTTTGAAAAATGTTTGTTATTTTTACGGTTTTATTAAAATTGATTTAAAGTAGATAAAGGAAAAAAAAATATCTACACACACACACACACATATATAGTTATAGTATTTTAATATTTTCACTTTTCATTTAGTTTTAGTTAACTTTTTTGTAGCCTAATGTTGTTTTGTGTTTTTGTCATTTCAATTAGTTTTTTATGTCTATATTGTTATCATTATTTTATTTTTATTTAATAATTAATGTTTTAATTTTAGTTATTTTAGTACACCGAGATAATAACTCTCTCTCTCTATATATATATAGCCTATACTGACTGATTATAGCGTATTATGCGAGACTTGTGTTTACACAACCAATAAGAAACTGGATAATGGATCAATTATGAGGATGATGTGATGATGTGGCTAATGATCTTTGATGCGTGGCATGATTGCACGTGTGCATAACCATTTATGCACAGTGATATGCTCCTGTAAGAGAGTCATTTTCCTTTTACTGTGATGCCTTTCACCCAGATTGCAGCTGTATTATCTCCATCGCATTAAAATTGTCATTTCATTTTACATCATGTACTTTACTAAAAGAAGAAGAATTCCTTTTGCAGTATAATATGGCCTTTTGAAGAATGATAGTTTAGGTGTTCTGCTCATCAGGACAAACACTGAGACTGCTGAAGACAAGACAAAGAGTGCTGATTGAATCAGCTGTGATTACAGTGCCATGGTGTTGATGCTTCTTATCTTCGATTCTTTCCCATAAAATAAACACTGTCAGGAAGTGATCGGATTAGTACTGAGTAATAGCTCATCACTTGAATCAAGGAGTAGTTTAACATACTACTGTACGTTCAGCGCTTAAGGATGTTTTACACAAACATTGAGTTAACAAATATTCGATAAATAAATTATTTTGTTACTACTGATACTGGTAAATGTATCTGAATTTAAAACTAAATACCATGATCCTTAGAACATCTTGAATAATTTAAATGGCTCAAAAATTCATTATAAAATAATTAAAATTCTAAATTTTAAACAAATGTCATTAAATTATAAAACTATAAATTCATTATAAAATAATTAAAATTCTAAATTTTAAATAAATGTCATTAAATTATAAAATGTATATATATATATATAATTAAATAATATAATACATATTATAAAAATAAAGAACTAGAAATAATATACATGGCTCAAACATTATAAAATAATAAAAATTCTAAATTTTAAACAAATGTCATTAAATTATAAAACTATAAATTCATTATAAAATAATTAAAATTCTAAATTTTAAATAAATGTCATTAAATTATAAAATGTATATATATATATATAATTAAATAATATAATACATATTATAAAAATAAAGAACTAGAAATAATATACAATTAATATATGATGGATTGCTTATTTAAAAAACTATGACAGGAATCAAGCATAGTAATTCATCACCACCGTTTGGCCCTATGCTGGTAAGCTCATTCAAACATCACTGATCTAAGATAGCATTTCTTATTTAATAATAGCAATAGTATCATACTATTTGTGTTTTTCATTACTATAATTAGAACGCTGAAAAAAGACCTTGAGAAAACACTGGGTCAAGATAAGTTTTCATCAATGTTTCTTTTTTAGTAAATGCTGCTGTGTTGCTGATTCTTTGTCTGTTGGATTTGATTTCTACTGTTGAACCAGAGCTTCAGACCAGGAGAACAAAGTTTCACCTCGATTATTATAAGCATATACTTGTAATCATTAACCACCTAATAATTATTTTGATAACCTTTAGGTAATCAATATCATAACAATCTGTTTTCCTTCTAATTTTCATTATCAAACCAAGGGACCTCTAAATCATGTTACATTCTTCAGACTAGTACTAACATGAGGTTAAGTGCACTATAAAGTGACCCCTTGACAGCTCAAACCAGCACTGCAGTCCCTGAACTGTGTTTGTAATAATGTAGTCCAGCACATAAGAATGCTACTCTAACGTAATATTCATGTAAGTATTACAATTAGGCTATTAATATTCATTTTTAATGCTATCATACTTATCGAAGCCTCCCAGTATTTCATCTGCGTGGGCTATTGTCATAATTCAAGAAATCCACCTGCACTGACCTGTTTCAGCCTGTAGATGGAGACAATCTTCTTTTTCCAGTTAGCAATAAACGTCTAATCAATAACTTGATTCATAATGACCATTTATATCAACCTATAAATGAGGCAGTTTTATTAAAATAATTCAAAAAATAACACAAAGAAAACATTTGTTATTAAAATTAAAGTAAAAAAAAAAAACATAGAACCTTTTTCTTCAACGCGGAAGTAAGCCTATGAGTGAGACTTCCGGTTCATTAGCCGCTATAGGTAAATAACGAGAATAACAACATGCAGTAATTCAAAAAATAACACAAAGAAAACATTTGTTATTAAAATTAAAGTAAAAAAAAAAACATAGAACCTTTTTCTTCAACGCGGAAGTAAGCCTATGAGTGAGACTTCCGGTTCATTAGCCGCTATAGGTAAATAACGAGAATAACAACATGCAGTAAACGGTAAAACTGTTTGCACTACAAACCAGTGTGTTCATAATTAAGATGATACATTAAAATAATATGATAAGACACACCAACTTTCAACATCAAGCAGCAAAACAAACTGTATTGTTCAGCTAAAAATAACTGGACAGAGTGGACGCAGATGAGACCGGAAGCCAGACCCATAGAATTTACAAATGGCCGCGCCCATTTTTACGACAAGAAAAAGGTGGATAATGAATATATAATATGATGAGTGTATTTTTTTTTATCAAATAAATGCAGCCTTGGTGAGCATTATTTAATGTTTTTTGAATGGTCATTGGAGAAAGTATTATTATACATTCAAATAATAATAATTTAAAATGTAAATTAAACGAACATTCTCCTTCTCAAGTTACTGTTCATACTGTACTGTTTATATCGTTTTAACCATCAATAATAAAACTGATCAGAAATAAAATGACGTCAGAGATGAGTTCATATGAGGTTCTTTACACTGCTAGAAGTCTCTCTTCTAAAGGTGATATGAGGTGTGCATTGAGAGGCAGGAATCTGTGTGTGTGTGTGTGTGTGCGCAAGTGTTGGAATTCCCACACTTCATTGCCGTCATATAAAGTCATGTGAGCACTGTAAAGCTCATTCTGTGTCAATATGACTATACGAGTGCTTCTGTTCGGCCTGTTTCTGCTGCTCACTTCAGGTACAGTCAACATTCAAGCCATACTTCTGATGAGTGTTAATTAATATTAATCAGTTCATGTCTTTGTTGAATATTATTGTCTGTAAAATAGGAGTTAACCTCACTTCATTGTGGTTCTACAAACTGTAATAGAGCTTTTAAAAACACAAGAAACAGGTATAACCACTTCTATCACAAAGAAAAATCTTAAACAGTTTACTTTTGCTTCAGGGGCACAAGGAACACCTGGCTCATCCCGGAAGGTATGGGGGGAATTTTTTGTTCTCAGTGAATGATTAACTAGGGTTTTTTTTTTTTTGTTCATTTTTTTTTCAGGGGTTAAAACTATTGGAATGCAATGCCACAAATGCGTGTATGTGTGTGTTTTGTAGCCC